ATCCACTCACCTCAGCCTCCCAAAGGTGCGGGATTACTGGCTGAGCCACCGAGCCCAGCTCAATTTTTTTTCTTAGAGCCCCTGTGTTTCTTTGTCTTGATAAATATGCTTAGTAGGCAAATAAGATATGAAAGTCTTTTGAGGTTTTGGAGTACAGGTACTAACTAAATGTAGGATGCAATAAAACATTTTCTCTTTTATGTTGTCATTTTAAACACATTTTTATTTAAAAAGCCACTGGCATGCAGGTATCAGTTGAAATGCTTTATTTCTTAAATGGTATTTTTAAATGGATGCAAAATTTTTATATTCTTAATTAGGTATTCTAGCCTTAAATTTAAAATTCTTTTTCCTGAGTATATTTTGTCTTAAATATGCAAAAGAGTATATTTTCATAGAGTGTGTTGAAAATTAGGAAAATCAAGGGTTCTTGTTCTGTCAGGTGCAGTATTTAGAGTGTTGTTTTGATAAAATCCAGTTGCCCTGATTTGAGTTGAAAATACTTGCTCCTTTGGAGTATAATTGCAGGGAAAAAACTGTGGCACAGGTAAAAATTCACCATAATGACTTGAATTGGTTTTATACATAATCATCTGTGGTTTTGATAGTGAGGTAGCTGTACACAGTGTCTTTGGGTCCAACATACATGAAAACACAGGATTGCCAGGGTTCACACAAGGAAGCACTTGTTCAGGCTTCATTTCTGCATCTGAATTTGAAGGTGAAGTACTTTTCTTATTCTAAAAGATAAACACAGAAAATCATTCTCAATTATAAAGTTCTGAAAAAAATAAAATTAAACTTAGCCTCATCCACTTCCCTTTTTTGAGAATCCTGTTCTCTAGAAGGCATTGAAGACGACCCATTAAATAATATATCTCTGTATAGAACAAACTTGTCAAAAGTATGCATAAGATAGCTTTTTAAACTTCCTGTACTAGAACTATGAGAATTTATAAAGACGTTTGTAAATCATAGGGAAAATCTGTAAAAGTCATTATTGGAAGAGGAAGTATAGCTCCTCTTTAGAGATTTTAGAGTAAGAAAGGAAAAAGATAAACATTTGGGGATCTTAGTCTGGGGAGGGGACAGCCATTAAGCAACTGATTTCACCTCTAACTGAACAATTACAATTGTAATAATTGCTATGAAGAAAATAACATAAGATATTTAATAAAGACACAGTGGGGGTTCTAACCTAGTGTGGGGGGCTAGGGAAGGCTTTTCCAATGAAATATCTTTGAATCCAAGACTGTCAGGCAAGGAAGGAAAAGATACAGGTGGGAACAAAGTGTGGCCAAAGTCAAATAAGTTAGGGTGAAAGTGTCATGAGATGAGAAGAGAGAGCCAGATCTTTCAGGGTCTTGTTGACTATGTTAAAAATCTAAATCTTTATCATAAAAGCAATGGAAAGTGATTGAAGTGTTCCATGGAAAGATGTACCATGATGTAACATAATTTTTTTTTTTTTTTGAGTCAGAATCGCACTCCATCGCCCAGACTGGAGTGCAGTGGCACTCACAGCCACTCCAGCGTCAACTGCTGGACTCTGGTGATCCTTCTACCTCAGCCTTCCAAGTAGTCAGAACTACAGGTGCACGCTACCACGTCCAGCTAATTTTTTATTTATTTACAATTTAATTTATTTATTTATTTTGAGTTGACGTCTCACTCTTGTCGCCCAGATTGGAATGCAGTGGTACGCTCGTGGCCACCACAGCTTTGACCTGCTGGGCCCCGACGATCCTTCCGCCTCAGTCTTCCAAGTAGCTGGAACTACAGGTATGCTACCACGCCTGGCTAATTTTTAATTTATTGTAGAGATGAGGTCTTGCCAAGCTTCCCGGGCTGGTCTTGAACCCGCGGGGTCAGGCAATCCACTCACCTCAGCCTCCCAAAGTGCTAGGATTATAGGCTGAGCCAATGAGCCCGGCAATGTAACATAATTTTTTGTAAACTTACTTTGGCTGCTGCTAGAGCCTTGTGTGGATACGCAGAGGAGTTGCAGTAGTCTGTGTGACTGATGATCAATTTACAGTAGAGTGGTAGCATGGGAATGAGATAAGTTATCAAATTTGAAACTTATTTTGGGAGTAGAATTCACAGGATCTGGTGGTTGGAGAGGGGGTAGTAAGGAAGAAGGACAGATCCAGGATGACTTCCAGGTTTCTGGACAAACGCTTGGGTGGATGGTGGTGCCATTTACTATAATTTATTTAATATGTAAATTATATATACATATAAAGATAAAATATATTTAGGTAGGAAACATAACAGTAATTTAAAAAATATAAATAAAAACTAGATGGAGTGTTTTTAAGTTACGATACATAATTTTTTCTTTTTTTTGTTGGATTGTCAGTTTGTTGCCCAGGCTGGAGTGCAGTGGTATGATCATGGCCACCACAGCCTTGACCTGCTGGGCTCAGATGATCCTTCCGCCTCAGCCTTCCAAGTAGCTGGAACTACAGGCATGCGCAACCACACCTGGATGAGTGTTCTTGATTTATTGTAGAGAATAGGTCTCGCCAAGTTGCCAGGCTGGTCTCCAACCCCTAGGCTAAGGCAATCCTCTCACCTCTGCCTCCCAAAGTGCTGGCATTACAGGCCTGAGCCTCCGTGCTCGGCTGATATATAATTTTGGTAGTGAAACAGCACTCTGCATTGATGATGACCAGGTAAATTAATATAACCACATTTTAAAAAATTAACAAAATGCATCAAGAAATTTCAAATATCATAACTTTGAATCCTGCAGTTTTGGTCTTGAACTCTTAGCCTAAGAAACTTTATTGTAGAAAAAATGTAATGCACAGAATTACTTACAAAATAACTGAAACATGTACTAATTAGATGGATGGTGATTTTAATTCTTTTGCTTATGCCAAAAATACTAATGAAAATACTCAAAATAAACCAGACAAAATAACTGAAACATGTACTACTTAGATGGATGGTGATTTTAATTCTTTTGCTTATGCCAAAAATACTAATGAAAATACTCAAAATAAACCAGATGTGGTGGCTCCCAGCACTTTGGGAGGCCGAGGTGAGAGGACTGCAGCCCACAGGTTCGAGACCAGCCTGGGCAACTTGATGAGACCTCATCTCTACAATAAATCAAAAAATCAA